GCTACAAAAATTCTAAAATTGAACCTGATGATGACTACACACACGCAAAGTTACTACCGTTCATTCTTGAGGGGGACTTGAACTGTCTTTACCAAATTTCATGGCTACAAATCCAATAGTTGAGACATTTCACTCAAACTTGTAAATGTCAACCTCATGATATGGCGCTAGAGGAAAAGTCAGGGGATCATCCTTCATGGTGTTCATCCTTTGGAGCCATGGAAGTCTGTGTAAAATTTAATGGCAATTAACCCAGTAGAAAGTTCAGTCATGACCTAAGTGGTGATCAACCAACCAACCAAACCAACAACCAACAGACCAACAACAACACCATCTCTAGAAGCTAAACATGAATTATATATCCATTAAAATTACCCCACTTGACTGTGTCACTGTACGTATTCCTACATTGCCCGTGACCATGGACACTGTAGTTTATTTGAGTTAATCCCATCATTCACTGTCTTGCGCGCTATCTCACCAGAGATTCCAAATGTGTTAATTAATCCCGAGTTCCAGGTCGCCACCAAAAATGACTTTTTTCAATCCTGTTTGGGTAACGTTTACTAAAACCTGAACCTTTTTAAAATTATTAATATAGATCTGTGACCTGTAAAGAAGTTCCTCACCTTGAGCAGGAGCAGCAGGGGGTGGGGCCGCTGTGGCACAGAGAGGAAGGGAGGATGGAAAGCGTCAGAGAGGAACAACAAAAACGGTCGTCTTTCATGCGATTTGTTGGTTGCCAGAAAAAGTATAGAATAACACACGTGCTGCCCTTAAAACAAAGACTGGTTGACTAAGCAGCAATTAGTAGAGATGCTATGTGGTAACAGTAATTATAAGTGATGATGGAGGGAATTCACAAAGTACGGATGCAGAGTTGGTTTGCTTGTGTTGTGTTTACGTCCTCTGTGATGAAGGGGCAAATAGAGAGAGCAAGATGGAGGGTAAAGTATTCATTTACTTGCTGGCCACCCTTGCCAGCAGTCACAGCACGCACAGCCTGCTGACACGGATAAGTTGATGTAGTAATTGAAGGAGCGGGAATTGAACCTCCGTCATGAGAAAGGTGTGAGTGTGAAAGTGTTTGTGCATACTTGTGGGTGTGTTGTGTGTGTGTGTGTGTGTGTGTGTGTGTGCGTGCGTTTTTTGGAAAAAAAAACAACGACGCGACGAGCACAACAGATGAGGCAGCAAACAGTGAAAATGGGATGAGGCTGCAAAACGGTGGAAGACAATGATGTGCATTGAGAGGGAATGGGAAGGTTGGAAAGGGGAGAGGAAAAGGGGAAGGAATTCTAAACAAGCTGAGAGGGAGACGGAAATGGACGATGAGGACTGACGAGGACGAACAATGCCGTCCTCGTATGAATCATATTTAATCCTTCCACTCACACACTCATATTCAAATTATACCACATTATCAACATTCAAGCTCCCTCTGCACCTCTCTCCCCACAATACAGCGACCTCAAGAAGCATCTGGGCTGTTATACAAGTCCGATAACTCATTCCAGCTACGTTTTCAACTCGAAGCAATAAGGCGGGGTAGTGTCTCTTTTTCAAAGCTCTTCACACTCTGCGAGGGTTCTCTGTCGGGCCCCCTCCCTGCCTGCGTGGATAGCATTGTCATTCGTCTGTAGTGGAAGACTCATTCAAAATTTAACAGACACATTAGAACTACAAGCGGCTCCTTCATGCGTTTTTGACAATGCAGGAGAGGCTCCGACGTTGGATGTTGTATTCAGATTGTAATGTTGGAGCAAGCGGGTTAGTTTTTTCTTTTAAGCAGTTTTAAACCCCAGAAAATCAATAACAATGTTCATTTTGATACAATTAGTTATATATAAAGCGCTCTCTTATTAAAGCTGGGAGCTTATACTGTAGATGAATTTCATCGGGCTTGATTGTTTTAATAACACAAAAGGCACAGATGATAATTCCACCTACAGGACTTGAAAAAAGAAGTACTAACTTTACCACAATTCAAATTCAACCAGTTATATGGAGAAGAGACGACGAAATGAGGCACAATCACTTTCAAACTACAGCATTTTATACCTTCAGAAAAAGTAAAGACCGGGAGGTGAGAGAGGACAAGTACCAGCGTCAGGAAGCAACAGGGGCTTAATGGAAACGTGATCTTAATTCAAAGAAGTTATTAGCACTAATCAAAGCACTTGTGAGAGATAGAGGCCACCTGTCATTCCCAACCATGATTGCATTTGTTACAGTGATTATATTAAGGCATCACAGTTAATTTTGACAATGATATATAATGATGGTTTGAAATTAAAATAAATACCCATTATCATGATGAGACACACCTTCAAATGCACACACTGTTATAGGCAGGAAGATGACAGCGACACACAATCATAGTGTGTTTTCAAGTAAAAGTCAATAAAAAACACACAAGGATATACAGCAGACAAACACTCATGAGGCGGAGAGGCTCGCTTTCCTCGAGGCAGTTTAAAGTGATGCTAAAACTCGAAAGTCACATAATCAGTAAAACAGAAGACAAGTCATCAGACTGAAGTAGAGCCCCATTAAGAATAAATGTGAAAGTTGAGAGTAGCGGTGAATATGGCAACTTGTCTGTTGCACATCGCTTACAACTACAATAAAAACAAACTCATTTAGCCGTAAAAGCTCACACAGCCATTTTATGCCTCCATAAAACCACTCTGTAGCGACGGTAGCAGTTTTGTGCAGCTGTATTTAGGCGCAGCAGTGCGTTGAGTTAAATGCTAACATCAGCATGCTAACATGCTGATCTTCAGTAGGTAAAAGGTGTACCATGTTCACCATCTTAGTTTAGGATGTTAGCATGCTATTATCTGCTAATTATAACTAAACACAAGTACCGAGGTTATTGGGAATGTCATCTGCAGATGTTTGGTACAATTTAAAATTTTGACCTGATGATGACACACACACCAAAGTTACTACCGTTCATTCTGAGGGGGACTTGAATGTCTTTACCAAATTTCATGGCTACAAATCCAATAGTTGAAACATTTCACTCAAACTTGTAAATGTCAACCTCATGATGGCGCTAGAGGAAAAGTCAGGGGATCATCAAAGTCAGTGGTGTTCATCCTTTGGAGCCAGTGAATGTCTGTGTAAAATTTAATGGCAATTAACCCAGTAGAAAGTTCAGTCATGACCTAAGTGGTGGATCAACCAACCAACCAACCAACCAACCAACAGACCAACAACACCATCTCTAGAGCTAACATGAATTATATATCCATTAAAATACCCCACTTTGCACTGGGTGACGTATTCCTACATTGCCGTGACCATGGACACTGTAGTTTATTTTGAGTTAATCCCACATTCACTGTCTTGGCGCTACTCACCAGAGCACCAAATGTGTATTAATCCGCAGCTTCCAGTAGTCCCCAAAAATGACTTTATTTCATCCTGTTTGGGTAACGTTTACTAAAACCTGAACCTTTTTAAAATTATAAATATAGATCTGTGACCTGTAAAGAAGTTCCTCACCTTGAGCAGGAGCAGCAGGGGGTGGGTGCCGCTGTGGCACAGAGAGGGAAGGGAGGATGGAAAGCGATTAGAGAGAAACAAACAAACGGGTCGTTTTCATGCGATTTGTTGGTGCCAAGAAAAAGTATAGAATAACACCAGTGCTGCCCTTAAAACAAAGACTGGTTGACTAAGCAGCATTAGGTAAGAGATGCTATGTGGTAACAGTAATTATAAAGTGATGATGGAGGGAATTCACAAAGACGGATGCAGAGTTGGTTTGCTTGTGTGTGTTTACGTTCCTCTGTGAGAAGGGCAAATAGAGAGAGCAAGATGGAGGGTAAAGTATTCATTTACTTGCTGGCCACCCTTGCCAGCAGTCACAGCACGCACAGCCTGCTGACACGGATAAGTTGATGTAGTAATTGAAGGAGCGGGAATAGGAACCTCCGTCATGCAGAAAGGTGTGAGTGTGAAAGTGTTTGTGCATACTTGTGTGTGTGTGTGTGTGTGTGTGTGTGTGTGTGTGTGTGTGTGTGTGTGTGCGTGCGTTTTTTGGAAAAAAAAACAAGAGCGACGAGCACAACAGATGAGGCAGCAAACAGTGAAATGGGATGAGGCTGCAAAACGGTGAAGACAATGATGTGCATTGAGAGGGAATGGGAAGGTTGGAAAGGGGAGAGGAAAAGGGGGAAGGAATTCTAAACAAGCTGAGAGGGAGACGGAGAATGGACGATGAGGATGACGGGAGGACGAACAATGCCGTCCTCGTATGAATCATATTTAATCCTCCCACTCACACACTCATATTCAAATATACCACATTATCAACATTCAGCTCCCTCTGCACCTCTCTCCCCACAATACAGCGACCTCAAGAAGCATCTGGGCTGTTATACAAGTCCGATAACTCATTCCAGCTACGTTTCAACTCGAAGCCAATAAGGCCGGGTAGTGTCTCTTTTTCAAAGCTCTTCACACTCTGCGAGGGTTCTCTGTCGGGCCCCCTCCCTGCTGCGTGTATAGCATTGTCATTCGTCTGTAGTGGAAGACTCATCAAATATTAACAGACACATTAGGACTACAAGCGGCTCCTTCATGCGTTTTGACAATGCAGGAGAGGCTCCGACGTTGGATGTGGTCTGGATGCAGATTGTAATGTGGAGCCAAGCGGGTTAGTTTTTTCTTTTAAGCAGCATTTTAACCCCAGAAAATCAAAGCAATGTTCATTTTGATACATTAGTATATATAAAGCGCTCTCTTATAAAGCTGGGAGCTTATACTGTAGATGAATTTCATCGGCTTGATTGGTTTAATAACACAAAAGGCACAGATGTGAATTCCACCTACAGGACTTGAAAAAAGAAAGACTACATTTACCACAATTCAAATCAACCAGTTAATGGGAGAGAGAGACGAATGAGGCACAATCACTTTCAACATACAGCATTTAGTACCTTCAGAAAAAGTAAGACCGGGGAGGTGAGAGGAGGACAAGTACCAGCGTCAGGAAGCAACAGGGGCTTAATGGAAACGTGATCTTAATTCAGAGAAGTATTAGCACTAATCAAAGCACTTGTGAGAGATAGAGGCCACCTGTCATCCCAACCATGATGCCATTTGTTACAGTGATTATATTAAGGCATCACAGTTAATTTGACAATGATATATAATGATGGTTTGAAATTAAAATTAAATACCCATTACTCATCGAAGCAAACACACTCAAATGACACACTGTATAGGCGGATGAGCAGCGACACACAATCATAGTGTGTTTTCAAGTAAGTCAAAAAAAAACACACAAGGATATACAGCAGACAAACACTTGAGCGGAGAGGCTCGCTTTCCTCGAGGCAGTTTAAAGTGTATGCTAAACTCGAAAGTCACATAAGTCAGTAAACAGAAGACAAGTCATCAGACTGAAGTAGAGCCCCATTAAGAATAAATGTGAAAGTTGAGAGTAGCGGTGAATATGGCAACTTGTCTGTTGCACATCGCTTACAACTACAATAAAAACAAACTCATTTAGCCGTAAAAGCTCACACAGCCATTTTATGCCTCCATAAAGCCGGTCTCCAAATCACTGATGACTGAGTGACTCGGGTCTGTTTCTCACTTACAGATTTGAATTTGCAGTATTTATTACTGACTGAAATGTTTCATGAGAACATTTTACTTTATACATTTTATAGTAAGTTTCTGACGCACTTCACTTGTTCCACTGTACATCAACTTATGCGAAGAAAGTTCTGAATTAATGGCCTTATTCCAAACTTATGGGAGAAAGATATTAAACTCTACGCTACATCAACTTACACATTAAAGTTAAAGTTGAGATTCACCAAACAGACTTTTTACCAGCACACATTTTGACTTGTGATAGGAAAACTAAAGGTGTTAATAATGAAATAACATAAACGTTGGCTCTGTTTTATTCAAGGTGCCAGTAGGCCGTTACAGTGAGCCAGTAAAAACAATACCAGGGGCTGTATTCACAAATTATCTTACCTAGAAGTCTAAGCTAAGTGGTGCTAAAAGTTCCTAACTAAGTTTTGGGACTAAAATTGATTCCACGCTGAGGAGAGCAACTTTTAAAAAGGGACTGAGAAAACTCCCAAGAGAAAGTCTGGGGAATCGGCACATTGATTTCAGTAACAAATGTTTTACAAAGTAAGATATTGACTCGTCAATTAGATTGTATCTGGTCTCAAACACAATCTGCATTGATACTGTGATTTTTTTTTTCCCATTTGAAATTGGACTCAATTATTCATTTATACATTGATTTTTCAATTGGTGATTACGTAATGTAACCAACACTTAATGATCTCTCAGACAGACTGAAGAGTATTTTTGGTTTAAGGAATAATTCTGATTAAGTTCAGCTCTGCAAACTGCTTTTTATCTGTAGCAGCTAGATGCACAAATCATCATGTTATAATCATGTTGTGGGTTTCCATTCGTTGGTGAGCTAATTTGGTTCCTTTTTAACTCACTTAACACACTCAGCTGAAGATGTTTGACAACTGCTTAAAACACCAGCAGAAGAAGAATCACTTGTTCACTTTAGCAGTTTAATAACAACAATACCAGCATATCTAGCATTAGCTTTACCATCCATCAAGTGACACAAACACATGGGTGAATTACATTTATGGACTAAGATGAAGACAAACGTTTTATTGTCCTCACTGGCTCTATCTGGAGCTGATAAATGCTCTCTCACCCACACATGTCACTCAACACTCAACAACAACAAGTGCAAGCTCTCTATTTAAGCAGGTGAAGAAATCGCTGGAGCTGCTTTTTTCCTGTGGCTAATTTCAGTGTAGCTTCAGCTGCCATTATCACAAGGTAAAGACCCTATAGAAGCAATTTCCACAGACAGAGTTATACATATAGGAGTCGAGATTATACATGCATTTTGAATACTTCTTTGATGCATTTGTGAGTTCTGCCATTGCTACATAGAGAGCTGTCTCCAACGACGGAAAGCAAAGGCTGCGACTGTCTCCAATACCAGCCAGTTAGACGCTACTCTTTTTTTGTGAATACAGTCCAAGAGCCTGCAAACCAAAGCTGTTAAATCATTAATTTTACTATTTACACCTGTGCTTTCCTACTGTGACGGGTCAAAATGCTGCAAAGAAGGCCTGTTGCTGCAGACAGGGACTGTCCCATCTGCCTTAATTAGACACCTCATATTCACCTTAACTGACTAAATTAATTTCAGAAGTTTGGTTGTTTCACTGATGGAAAACCCTGTACACACCTGTTATTTAAAAAAAAAAAAAAAAAAGCCGTACAGAATGATTTAGAAAAGTTGGCCACGCCAGCAGCAATTAAACATGTTCTTTTCTTCCAGCTGAACCACACAATAGGAAGAGATTATGGTTTATGAATTAGGTGAATTTTTTGCTTTTGAAATCTTAAACCGTCGAGCATTGCAATTTGTGTCTCGCAATGTGCCAAACAGCTCGGCGCAAAAATGTTTTCATTATGAGACACAATGGAGGAGGTGAATTTACTCTACAATACATTATAAACAGTTTTCTTTAAAAAAAAAAACCAAAAAAAAAAAACAATTTGGGTTGAGTTTGACCTCGAGCGACTCTCTTCTCCTTCATCAGGAAACATTCGCAACACAGAGAAGCTGAGCTACGACCGGCAGCAGCAGTACGAGATCCAGGTGACGGCCTGGGACTGCGGCCAGAAGAGGGCGCTGCACAGCGTCCCTGTTCGCATCGACGTCAAACCTGTCTGCAAACCTGGCTGGCAAGGTGGGCCTTCATCATATCTGTGTGTGTGTGTGTGTGTGTGTGTGTGTAAAGATTTCAGGCAGGTCTGACTGTGTAATGCTTAAACATCCACATCAGACACAAATGCAATTATTTGTGTGCGATTACTTGAGTTTGTGCAGTAGTGTGTGTCAACAAACACAGATGTGATTATTTACATGTCATTACTTTAGTGTGTGTAGTCCTTCATATCTCTGGATGTGTGGTGTAGTCCGAAGACTTTCATTCTTCTCCACCGTCTGGGCTTCTCCTCTCTTCCTCCCTATCCTTTCTATATTTCTTTGTCTCTCTCGCTCTCTTGGTTTTCCTCTCCTCTCCTTCCCTGACCCTCTTTCTCTCCCCTTTTCTCTCTCTCCTTCCCTCCCAGAGGAATTGGCCTGTCAAGTGTAGCTGGTGTGATCAACAGCACTTTACTAAGAGCAACGTGACACAGCCAACACGTCTCTTAGCGCATCAGAAAGCAGTCATGGCAGCCCTAACAAGGCCCAGAGTAATGCAAAGACAAGTGTCTGCACAGTGTTACAACAACACAAACAGCGCTCGAGGTAACTGCGGATGCGATCTACATTTGTCAGAGAGGGTAGCAGCACACGTGATGAAAGACGAACACACATAGCGCGCGGCTTCACCTGTAACCATGTGCAACCTGTGTTGTTCTGCCGTCAGGTCATGAGGTAGTTCGTTTGCTGGATTTCTTTTGGCATCCGCCCATTTCTCGTCCCTCAGGACGTGATGTTAGCGAGCTGCTGATAAACACCAATAAATGAGGACCCTGGCAGCAGCTCAGCGGCAGCAAGTAAACGCTGCAAAAAACTGTTAAATCATTGGCTCGTTTTCAATCTTCCAATCTGTGTTTTCTCAAAACAAGTGACAGCACATGCCTGCAGTTACACAGTACATTCAGTAAATACTCAGACCCCTTCCCCTTATGTTGCAGCAGCTTTATGCTAAAATCATTTAATTTCATTTTTCCATCATCAATCTACAGTCAATATCTCATAATTGCAAAGTTATTGAAAAGGAAACACTGAAATATCACATTGACAGAAGTCAGATCCTTTGCTATGACACAGTTTAGCTCAGGTGCCTCCCGTTTCTCTGGAGTCCACCTGTGGCAAATTCAGCTGATTGGACTTGATTTGGAAAGACACACACCTGTCTATGTGAGGTCTCACAGCTGACAATTCATATCAGAGCAAAAACCAAGCCGTGAGGTGGAAGGAGCCGCCTGCAGAGCTCAGAGACAGGACTGTGTCGAGGCACGGATCTGGGCAAGGCTACAAAAACATTTCTGCTGCACTGAACAGCACAGTGGCCTCCACCATTCTTAACTGGAAGAAGTTTGGAAAAAACCATGACTCTTCCTGGAGCTGACTGCCAAACTTAGCAATCGAGGCTGAGCTCCAAAGATCTCGCGTGGTGGTGGGAGAAACTTCCAGAAGGACGACCATCACTGAAGCACTCCACCAATCTGGTCTGAAGAAAGCAAGATGGAACTATTTGGCCTCAATTCTAAGCGTCATGTCTGGAGGGAACAAGGCACTGTTCATCACCTGCCCAATACCATCCCCATGGTGAAGCAGCAGACACAGGGAGACTGGTCAGGGTTGAAGGAAAGCTGAACAGAACAAAGTACAGAGGAATTCTTTAAAAAGAATTAAAAAAAAACCTGGTCCAGAGCTCTCAGGACCCCAGACTGGGCAAAAGGTTCGCCGACAGGACAATGACCCTAAGCAGGATGTGTTTGAGTGGCTGAGCCAGAGCCCTGATGTGAACTCATTCCAGCATCTCCGGACGGACCTGAAAATGGCAGTCCACTGATGGTCCTAATCCAACCTGACAGAGCTTGAGAGGATCTGCAGAGGAGAATGGCAGAAAATCCCCAAATCCTCCAGGTGTGCAAAGTTTGTCACGTCAAATCCGAGTCGTAATCGTTGCCAAAGGTGCTTCAACTAAATGCTGAGGAAAGGGTCTGAATATTTATGTCAGTGTAATATTTCAGTTTTTCCTTTTTTAATGAATTTGCAAAAATCCTAAAATTCTTCTTTCTTTCTTTTTTTTTTTGCTTTATCATTATTGGGTATTGAAATGAATTTAAATTATTTTAGCACGAGGCTGCAGCATAACAAAATGTGAAAAAGGTGAAGGGGTCTAAAAACACTCTGAACGTGCTGTACAGAAATGCGCTTTTCTGATCTTGGTAAGAAATCTTCAGTGACAAGGTCAGGACCCTAAAACAAGACAGAAAAAGCTAAATTAATTTATTTTGCATTAAGAAAATAAATGATTCAGGCATGTCTTGAAACTCCAACATTAGTACCGTCTTATCTAAATAATTTCTTAAGATGGGTTCCACTTGCAGGTCAGTAGCAGCTTCACTAGACTAGATACTTATTTTAAGATTCAGAGGAGTTAAGGTCACCAAATCAAACAGACAAAAAGACACAATGAAAGAAAAAAAGGTCAGAAGTTCACCTCTCGTTCTGAGTTTCAGAAGTACAAAGTCACTGAACACACGCAGAACGCTGTGTAGTGTTTTTCTTTTACAAACAATGATGCTGGCAAGTTGAATCACATACTTAATGATGATACATGATACAAGAGAGTAGGCTACATGTAAAAGACATCTGCATGACATACAGACACATTTATAGCCGCACAGTTGTACACTTAAATCCTACTTTTTCCCACATTCAAACTTTTCAGATGCACATTCAGTGGTTTTAGACAGTATTCAGACTCCATCACTTTTTGCACACTTTGCACACACACACACACACACACACACACACACACACACACACACACACACTTGCACACTCCTGGTGCTTCCTTCATTTCACAATTTTTGAGACCACTGTGCTCCTGGAAACATAATCATGGAGGTCCACAGAGAGTTCCTGGGACTTGGACTTCTGAACTAAGAAGTGTGCAAAAAAGTAAAAGGGTCTGAATAGTTTCTGAAGTCACTGAATGCTGCTGTCACTGTGGGCAAGTTCAATGTCAGCACACCCCATATTAACACACAGACGCACAGAGCAGCCAGGGCTGTCATTGGTTTAGAGAGTGACATTAACTCCCTCTCAAGGCTCTCGGCGATAATCCTGTCTTTGAAGCCTGTTTGCAATATTTTTTTTTGTGAGTGCATTTTTCAAATTAGGATTTTCAGCACAAGATTATGGCGAGAAGATACATTCACAAACACAAGCGCAGACACACACTCCCTTGATGAAAGAGCAGTCGTCCCTGTGAGTATTGTTTGGCAGCGGGGATGAAGGGAAAAATGGAGAGGGAGAAGTAAATGCCATGGCCACAGATCAAGGGATATTTAATAGGGCTAGTGGTTGTTGAATTGAAGGCAGGCTTCCGTCGGCAGGCGACTGTGGGAATGTCAAAGACACACACACACGCACACACACAAAAAAGATGTGCTTTCTTTGGGTAAAAAACAGTAATCTGTCTGTTCAAATTAGCTATGGCCTCTGGCTCTGGACAGCAGGGCTCAGCTGTGTGTCTGTCCTGACTAATCACATGTCCTCACTCAGCTGTGGAAACTCCTTTACTGATGGGTAGTGCCTGAACACACACACACACACACACACACACAAACACAAACACAAACACCCGCACTGGTGTGTATAGGTGTCTGCATCCCCATTTCAGCCTTTTCTTTTCAATGACTCTCCTACCTTAAACTGTACTCGGTTTGCCACTGTGTGTTACGACTGAACGTACCATATATTCATTTGCACATCTTACAGTGCACTTAGACACATCATCAGTGATGTAGCCTGGAGTCAGCAGGTGTTTCTGGTCTTTCAACATCAGACACTCTTACCCAGGCAACCCAGCTTTTGTTCAAGTTGCGCCTTTTGATGCCTTTTCTGTAGCGTACGCAGTTGTCCTGATGGTTCTCTTCGCTTGTGAGTCCTGTGATGCCAAAGAGCTTCCTGCAGGACTAAGGGCAGACTGGTAAATCCCCTGCAGCCAGCCTTGATGGTCACACATTGTGCATGCTATCATCAACTCTGGCTCTTGCTCACCGGATCAGCTTACTTGACTTTCTCTCAGAGGCCTTCTCCATTCTGTCTTCTGAGGCAACAGTCAATTCTAGCAGGACCACTCGCCTTGCTGTTCGGACATCAGGACCAATGTTAGTCTGAGTTCTGTTTCTGCAAGATAACTGCTGCTGTGGCTTTTCCCTTCCCTTGTCAAAGCCAGTTGTCTTCTTACTGGCTGTAGGTGTGTGTGGCTGACAGTCCCTGTGTAGGTGGCGCGTGGCGTGATGCCACTGGGAGCATCCCTTCCCAGGATTGCCCGCTCTTCCACAGTGGGGACACTGGTATTTCTGCCAGATACCAGGGGGAAAAGATGGATAGGTTAGGGAGGACAAGGTAAACTTACTGGATCATCATCAAGTCTATGCATCTTGTTGCTCCACCCCTTGCTTATATCTCCTCCAGGACCAAGATAGAGACACACCTCTCCTTCCCCTGGGCTCTCTTGTAGTGAGGTATAAAATGCCACGTGCCACTCTTCCATCCGTACATACAGTGCTCTCAGACTTTTGGACCCTACTGTATATCAATTTATCACCAGGTGCGACAGAATGTGGTCCTGGAGACACCTGCTGTAGCAGGAACTACCAGGAGGTGGACAGTGGAAGATACAGATACAAAACTTTACAGATATGTAGTTGAGATCAAAATAAAGGCTGAGTTTGATGATGGGTGTTGGAACTACTGAATGGGTCGGAACATCAACACGTTGACAGGCGTCTAGTTTTTTTTTTTGTATTGCTTCAAATCAATTCAATCCTCTCAGTATACCATTCCTGTTATACAGTGAACTGTTATTGTGGCAGCATTTGAAAACATTCTGGCTTTGGGCTTGTCAGACAACAGAAGGCAACATGGAGAACTGCCAAAATCAAGAAACTATAATCTCACTTCTTTATGCTTGTCCAAAACAATTGAAAACTT